TTCACTGTTGCTATTGAAGTCATTCCAAAGGGTTGGTTTAACAGAGCAAATGAAATGTAACCATACTTTATACACTGAGTGCACAAAACATTAGGAACACTTTACATGACATAGACTGACCAGGTGAATCCAGGTGAAAGCTATGATCCCTTATTGATGTCACCTGTTAAATCCACTTAAATCAGTGTAGATGATGGGGAGAAGACAGGTTGAAGAATAATGTTTAATGCTTGAGACAATTGAGACATGGATTGTGTATGTGTGCCATTCAGAGGGTGAATGGGCAAGACAAAATATTTAAGTGCCTTTAAATGGGGTATGGTAGTAGGTGCCAGGCGCACTGGTTTGAGTGTGTCAAGAACTGCAATGCTGCTGGGTTTTTCATGCTCAACAGTTTCCCGTGTGTATCAAGAATGGTCCACCACCCAAAGGACATCGAGCCAACTTAACATAACTGTGGAAGCATTGGAATCAATATGGGCCAGCATCCCTGTGGAACGCTTTTGACACCTTGTAGAGTCCATGCCCCGATGAATTGAGGCTGATCTGAGGGCAAAAGGGGGTGCAACTCAATATTAGGAAGGTGTTCCTAATGTTTTGTACACTGTGTAAGTCATATATCATCAATAATACTATTTATGCCTATATAGCATGTCATCAACAGCTTTTGTTTTTATTCAACCTAGGGTTAAACAAAAAATAGACAATACATATAGGCTTCGGGTTTCAAGCTTTGGTTGATTTCAAAATGTAATCTACAAGTTCATAATTTATATTTTGGATTCATGTCTCCATCTCAATCAAAAATCTTAAGTTAAAAAATAAGACTAAATCGAATCGAATCAAACTTTAAATGCGCTTTAAATAAAGTTTGTTTTGATTTAGTCCTATTCTTTAATAACTTAGGTTTTTGGTTGAGATGGAGAAGTGAATTCAACATATAAATGATTAACTTGAAGATTACATTTGAAATCAACCAAAGCTTGAAACTCTAGGACTATATGTATTGTCTATTTTTTGTTTAACCCTAGGTTGAATAAAAACAAAAGCTGTTGATGACATGCTATATAGGCATAAATAGTATTATTGATGATATATGACTTACACAGTGTACAAAACATTAGGAACACCTTCCTAATATTGAGTTGCACCCCCTTTTGCCCTCAGATCAGCCTCAATTCATCGGGGCATGGACTCTACAAGGTGTCAAAAGCGTTCCACAGGGATGCTGGAGAAGTGGAGATCTCTCAACAATAAATCTCACAGGTGAGAGGAGAGAGCATATGGTTCTTGTTATATGCAAAGTTGCTTTATGTTACTTGTCTTTTATATCTTCAGTAAAGATTTACGTCTGGAAAGCCAATTCTATGTGGATGCGTCATGAATTGCTCTCATCCTGTGCCAGTGGAGTTTCATAGGGAATTGCCTCTACATGAGCCAAAGGGGCCTTCCATCATGCCACAAGGAACTTCACGTCACTAGACTAGTATATCATAAATATCTCAAAATAGAATGGCTCCTGAATAGAGCAGGTGGACAGGTGGTGAAAAAATGCAGCTATTTTTATGTAATGCTTGCTTTTGATGAGATAATAGGCCTACATTCAGGTCATTTATTTTTCAGTGACAATGCCCAATGCCCTCATGTAAGGTGGCACACTTACATGTAGGTGTCAATTACAAAGACTCCAACATTTCTCCCTGGACGAGTTTATGTTTAGTGCATAGCACCACCTTGTGGGCAAGGCTACATGATACTGAATGAAACAGAAAATACTTGTAAATGGTTCACATTCTGAACAGAAAAATGGTTTTATGAAAAATTACACATTTCTGCAAATATGATATATTTGTATTTTCTGGCATAATACCTTTGCTCAGTCATCCACTGAAGGCATTTGAAGGCATTCAGATTCTTTCTAATCTGTCAAACTCTGGACCCAAGAGAGGATTAAGGTGACGCTTGTTTTCTCAGTTCCCGGAATAGCAACTTTCTACTCTGAAAAGGCCATTGCCCTGCTAAAAAATCTATGCTTTAATCTATAAAAGGACAACTATAGTGACTGTAATGACTTTAAAAGTTGTTTGAATTTATTTTGTTTTGTCACAGTCACAGTAACATACAGTGCATTCGGAAAGTATTCAGACCCCTTGACTTTTTCCACATTTTGTTTCGTTACAGCCTTATTCTGAAATTGATTAAGTTACATTTTTTCTCATCAATCTACACACAATACCCCATAATGACAAAGTGAAAACAGGTTTTTATAAATGTTTGCAAATGTATAAAAAATGTAAAACAGAAATACGTTATTTACATAAGTATTTAGACCTTTTGCGATGAGACTTGGAATTGAGCTCAGGTGCATCCTGTTACCATTGATCATCCTTGAGATGTTTCTACAACTTGATTGGAGTCCACCTGTGGTCAATTCAATTGATTGGACATGATTTGGAAAGGCACACACCTGTCTATATAAGGTCCCACAGTTGACAGTGCATGTCAGAGCAAAAACCAAGCCATGAGGTTGATGGAATTGTCCGTCGAGCTCAGAGACAGGATTGTGTTCAGGCACAGATCTGGGGAAGGGTACCACAAAAGTTCTGCAGCATTGAAGGTCCCCAAGAACACAGTGGCCTCCATCATTCTTAAATGGAAGAAGTTTGGAACCACCAAAACTCTTCCTAGAGCTTGCCGCCTGGCCAAACTGAGCAATCGGGGGAGAAGGGCCTTGGTCAGGGAGGTGACCAAGAACCCAATGGTCACTCTGACAGAGCTCCAGAGTTCCTCTGTGGAGATGTGAGAACCTTCCAGAAGGACAACCATCTTTGCAGCACTCCACCAATCAGGCCTTTATGGTACAGTGGCCATACAGAAGCCACTCCTCAGTAAAAGGCACATGACAGCCCGCTTGGAGTTTGCCAAAAGTCACCTAAAGACTCTCAGGCCATGAGAAACAAGATTCTCTGGTCTGATGAAACCAAGATTGAACTCTTTGGCCTGAATGCCAAGCGTCACGTCTAGAGGAAACCAGGCTCCATCCCTACGGTGATGCATGGTGGTGGCAGCATCATGCTGTGGGGATGTTTTTCAGCGGCAGGGACTGGGAGACTAGTCAGGATCGAGGGAAAGATGAACGGAGCAAAGTATAGAGAGATCCTTGATGAAAACCTGCTCCAGAGCGCTCAGGACCTCAGACTGGGGCGAAGGTTCACCTTCCAACAGAACAACGACCCTAAGCACACAGCCAAGACAAAGCAGGAGTGGCTTCGGGACAAGTCTCTGAATGTCCTTGAGTGGCCCAGCAAGATCCCGGACTTGAACCCGATCGAACATCTCTGGAGAGACCTGAAAATAGCTGTGCAGCAACGCTCCCCATCCAACCTGACAGAGCTTGAGAGGATCTACAGAGAAGAATGTGAGAAACTCCCCAAATACAGGTGTGCCAAGCTTGTAGCGTCATACCCAAGAAGGCTCGAGGCTGTAATCGCTGCCAAAGGTGCTTCAACAAAGTACTGAGTAAAGGGTCTGAATACTTATGTAAATATAATATTTCCGTTTTTAAAAGGAAAACTGTTTTTGCTTTGTCATTATGGGGTATTGTGTGTAGATTGATGAGGGAAAAAAACGATTTAATCAATTTTAGAATAAGGCTGTAACGTAACAAAATGTGGAAAAAGTCAAGGGGTCGGAACACTTTCCGAATGCACTGTAAATCAGGATGATCTTGAATAATGATACAGTGTATAGTTATGTGTAGCATATTTGACAAGTCTTTATTGAGATGATAAAAATGGATTATCAAGCAAATTCAGTTTTTAGTGATTTCTGTCAGTTAAGGAAATGAGTTTGCCCCTGTTTTTGTAAAGCATGTTGGAGGTGGGGGTTGATGAGAATAGACTGAGCAGTTATTGATTAAGTTGTGTGATTCAGTTCTTGACATGACATCTGTTTGACCAACTGCCAAGTGTGTCAAAGGGGAGCAGTGTTATTGTGAGTAGCCTAAATTACCATGATTGCTTAGGGAATGTAACCTAGGCTAGCACTAGGGGGTTGAAGAAAATAGTCAACCTCTTAATTGAAGAAAATAGTCAACATCTTAAGGTTGGGCTAAGGGCTCTCTGATGCATTCTCTCAGTCATTCATTGCCTTTATTCACTCAGTATTTGAGAGCCATTTTGAAAGATCAATAAAATAACAGAATAGGATTGACTAAATGTAAAATATAACCAGTATCAGAAGGCCTACTCTTATATAGAACAGGTGCTTACTTGCAGGGTCAAAGTGGTTGCTTTGATCAGATCAGATGATATAGGTGGTTCATGGCCACCAGAGGCTCCAGTTGCTCCATGGTTTGATTTAGAAGAAGCAGTCACAGACATAGTTCTGGTAGTGCCCAATTCTGAGTGGACAGAAGTTGAGATGTATATAGAAATATTGAATTCTAAACAATGCTTCATCTGAAAGGTATTTGGCAAAATAAGCCTAATGTAGGCTATTATATCAAAGACTTACAAAGTTTGTTACACTTTCTGAATTAGTCTAATCGTTTTCAGTAGTCTATAGTATTTATTGATTGACAACCATAAAGGCACTTCTTTCATATGATAACTAATTTCACTGTTTCTGAACCATGTCCATTTTAGAAAACGAAATGTGAGAATGTAGGCTATTTGTTCAGGCTGACATGCAGGCTACATGTTTCAGTGTATAAAAACATAATTTATTGAGGCAACACTATGTTCATCCAAGAAAATATAACAGTCAGTTCACATTTGCACATAACAATCATAAACAGTTTTTTCTCAAATGATTAGAAATAAATTCTTCACAGATTGTTCACACTATCCTAGACGACTAAATTCGAATGGTTCATGATAGGAGGAATACATCATAGAATAAATAAGAATATAAATGTATGGGTCCAGTGCACAAAGGTATTTCCATCTTTAAGAGCATTCATTTGTGTCTTTGAATTTGACAAATAAAAACGACTCGTCTCAGCTTTGCGACATTCCAAGAGGATGAAAGGAGTTTCTGTCCAGCAGCAATGTCCCTATGTGGTATAGAATGTCTGAGTACCAGTGTATTCCATCTCTCTGACGTATGTCCTCGCGCTTTTTGACTAGACCTGTTAAAGACATCAACGCGTGCCCCAACCTGACTGGCGCAAAGGCCCAGTGCGCCCATTTGTGGTCCTCGATTACCGCGTAACAGCTCGCCAAAACATGGTCAACTATGATGGTTCCTTGTGAGGTTACTGGGGCATAAGATCCCTCGTATTCCTCCACGTAAATCCTTTCCACAGTGACTGCCTTCAGGTGGTCTAGGGCCTCGTCCACCACAAACACCTGTTGCCCAGGTTTTACATTACTGGCAAACACTGCAGTCATATCGTCATCCGTAACGTTATTGGTGATGAAGACAAGGTGAGCCGGCGTCAGTCTTAACTTTCGGTTGGGCTTCTCAGTTTCAAAAACATAAAATTCTCGTCTTGACACTGGATCTCGGTCCAAAAACATGAGGAAATCGCTGGACACAATATGTCCTTCTTTGTCTGCTGCTAACACCTTGTCGCCCACCTCCAGTTCTTTTACCAGCTTGCTTCGACCATCCTCGAGGAGAACTGAGGCGGATCCAGGGAAGCAGCCACCCGACTTTGCAGCAACTGAATTTTCTGGAGAAAAGCAGACAATAAAGAGTTAATAAAGAATTAGGACCAAGTCACTATTGCCATACAATTCTAAAAGTAAACTGAAAGACCTGGACAAATATAGGGCCTACTACTCTAACAAATGGGGTAGGAGAGTTGACATTGCAACATGGGTCACAGGCATTGTCTTATAACTGTGTAATAACAAGGGACGGCAATAGGCCTATCGAACAAACCCTATCAAATAAATGGTTTTCTTGACATAGCAGCGTGCGTAATAAACAGTTCATGAACGGTTGAGGAAGTCTATTTTTATTTTTATTTTTTTACATTTGACATTTACATACAACTATATTATTATTATTATTATTATTATTAATAATTGTTCGTTCGTTGTGTTTACCTGCTTTCACAGAACAATGAATATGGGCTTTGGATTCATAATTGACCCAGTCGAATCCTGCCTCCACCGCGAGCCTGGATAGCATTCCATATTTGCTCTTATCTCTGTCAGAGGTGGTGATATCCACAGCCCTTCCTTCATAGTGTAAAGAGTCTTCGAAATGGTGTCCATCCTCGTCCCAGCCTTCTGTCACGCGCAGCTTCACTCCCGGCCACTGATTCATGACTGAAATAGCCAAAGAGTTCAGTTTGTCCTTACATCTCTGAAAAGGAGAAATAGATAATTGAGATGTCAGGAAACACAAGGGGTTAAATAGGAGGGTTACACACACACACACACACACACACACACACAAACACACACATTCATACATACATTCATACATACATACATACATACATACATACATACATACATACATACATACATACATACATACATACATACATACATACATACATACATACATACATACATACATACACATACAGTATATGTATATAGCATGCACAACTAAAGACAGGGGCAAGACAGAGCTTTATTGATTGTATATTGACGCATCTGTTCCAATATATTTTTTTATTAATGTACATTTTTCAATTTGAAAAGAAACGAATAAACATTTTAGAAATGTTATAGATGGTTATGGCTTATCGAGTGACGCTTCGAATCTAAATTAATTCATTATCAGTAGTCTATCTCTCTCTCCCTCTCTCGCTCTCTGCGCGGGGGAGTAGTCTATAATACAAGTTTATCGTAGCCTAACATTAACTGTCTAGAACCAGCCCCTTTAATAAGTGGCAGCAGTCGTGCATCCATAACGACATGTCTTAATTTTCATGCTCCGATAAGCCCAACTGGAGACATAGGGCAGAACTGTCCATAGACAAAAATAGTCCGATATGGTGCACAGTTTGTTTGAAATGGTTTCAAATCTATATTATACGTAGATATGCATAGTAACCATAAAGGTAATTCATAAATATTTAACAACTGTCACTTCAAATTGAGCTGTCATTCATTGTTCTCGTGCCAAATGGTCATTCAGGACCCACAAGATACATCTTCATGCGCTTTCTCACTATAGCCTACCTGTGTCATAAGTCTGTCAGCATTAGTGTTTTCCTCATCTTTGAAAATAATGTCAGGATTGTAGTTTGGTGTCAGGTCTTTAAATCTTTCAGAGTTCCTTGTGATCTTCCCTTCGTATTTGCCACTGGCCCCAAGGGTCTTCTCCGCCACGTTGGGAATGAACTGCTTGTATGCCAAAGGCTTCAGTTTTTTCGGATGTCTTTGTTTTCCATATCCCTTGCCTGGACCACAGGCCAACCCAGCGGATGCTAGAAACAGACAGATGAAGCCCACGAGCGCAATTCTTATCAGTATAAGCATCACGTCCATTGGATTAATTGTATTGAGGTCCCTGTTGTGTAGGCTGGCTATATCCTCTCGCTTATCTCGCAGTCTCTCACACTCTACCCTGTATCAGTGTCCTCGTTTCTCTCTCTCTACTCTAGGAGGCTATCAAACGACCGCTACCGAAGCAGGTGTCGTAATGACAGTTTGATGTCGCTGCCCTCAGAGCACATTGGAGCTGTGTTACTGCTGCTGCTTCAGAAAACCAGTCCAGACGCATATGAATGGGTTTGCTCCATTCTGTTATATACTAGTGCTCTATATAAATGATAGCTCATCAATGTATGTGAAATAAAGAACGTGATTGGCTCCACTTGACAAACCGTTTTTGCTCCATGCTATTCAAATAGCAGGTTTGACAGTGTCAATAGGTCACTTATTAACAGTAATTCCTAAAACTTTTACTTACTTTCTTTTTGAGAAATGTATATTTCAATAGTGCATTTTTCAGTAATCATAAGAAGTGGTATGCAGTCTAATCAAAGAAAAAATATGTTTTAGTGCTGGTCTGGAATAAATGTCTGCATACCCTTTAGCTCTCCAGGACCAAGGTTGATGACCACACCATTTAAAACACATGAATTGTAGACATAATGGTCTGGATAGTAATTTCTATGCAGGTTAGTTGCACCAAAATGGTATGCAGGTCACAATATATTAAACTAAGGAGGGTGTGAAGTGAGGGAGACAGTAAGAGGATGCGTAGTGCATTATATATGGAATAGGGTGCCATTTGGGACGTAGACAGAATGTTCCTCAACGTGGATTAACATGTAGGAGAGTTGTCAGAGAGAGAGTTTATTTCTCTGCTGCTGGACTACTGTGCCTATGACCACCAGTCTTCTCATGGCAAGCATCTGTAGCCTAGGGCCAGCTGAACTTTATGGGTCAGCAACTGCCCTTCCACCAATGATATCTGCTAATTGCAGTGTGACAGTAGAATAAGTGAATGTGATTTCTATGATCAGCTCTATGTGGTTGACATTTTAGAAGTGTTCTTGCCCCTAAGTTGTAGTGTGTACAATAATAAGCCCCACATACATTTCTCATCTGTCGTGGATTTGTTGAACAGTATAGTTTTTGCCCCTTGTCCCATTGCTGACGTTGCTTGGTTGTGGTTTGCATTGGTTGCTGAAAAATGGCATGAAAGTGAGCAAAAACTCACCCACTTGTCACATTACAGAGCAAGACCCTCACAGGAACTGCGCTCAATATACAGACATGTGTTCATGACTAGTACAAAATGTGGTTTAGCAGTGCAAATCAGGAAATGGCCACAAGGTGAATACAGTAGGCTGCATGTTAATGCCATAGAGTTGTACAGGTAGGCCTACTTTTATTAATAAAAAAACTATCCAATAGCAGCGAGGCATTGCATTACCGAAACACACAATATATAACAAGCTGTAATATCTCAGTATCTCTCAATTACATGGTGTTTATATTTTATTCAAGTGGCAAGGACATAATTTGAGGCAATTAAGAGGCAGAACTCAGGAATGAATTGTTAAAATGTTCGGATTAGAATTAACATTGAGATCCTAATCCTGATCCTCAAACTATGTTAAGAGTCTTAGAAGGACTCAAAATACTCAAACCGTAATATTTTCAAATGGGGACACTCTTTGGTATACTGGTGGTGGTACATAAAAACACATGGGACAAAGGTTAAAGAAAATAAATGTAAGAATTGAGTGCAAGGATGTCAAGCATTCTAGGTTGGATTCTGCCTATGGAATCAATAGAATGGTTGGAAACATTTCCCTTATAATATGACATCCTACAGACACATACAGTTTCTTGGTCATTCGAACAAAAAAAACCTACCAAGTCTACCTTGTAATAGGCTTTTAGCATGAGGTAAGTCATACTGCATTCTTGTCGCCACTGTTGGCACTCTTAAAAAACAGATGACATCAATCTCGATTAAAGATTGATAAATAAACAAAAGAGATAGTCCAATTTGCAGATCGAATATTTACTGAGTAAGTGTGTGATTGAAAGACTCTGTTTGCTGCAGAGCCAGACTTCACCTCAAATCCAAGTGTACCTCAGGAGGACACAGAATTCAGTCAACCCACCAATTAAGTTTAGCTTCATATGACAAAACAGAATATTACAGACACAAGAAAAGATACACTGAGTGTACAAAACATGAAAAACACCTTCCTAATATTGCGTCGCAATCCCTTTTGCCCTCAGAACTGCCTCAATTTGTCGGAGCATGGACTCTACACGGTGTCGAAAGCGTTCCACAGGGATGCTGGCCCATGTTGACTCCAATGCTTCCCATAGTTGTGTCAAATTGGCTGGATGTCATTTGGGTGGTGGACCATTCTTGATACACACAGGAAACTGTTGAGCATGAAAAACCCTACAGCGTTGCAGTTCTTGACACAAACCAGTGTGCCTGGCACCTACTACCATACCCTGTTCAAAGGCACTTCAATCTTTTGTCTTGCCCATTTACCGTCTGAATGGCACACATACACAATCCATGTCACAATTGTCTCAAGGCTTAAAAATACTTATTTGACCTGCCTCCTCCCCTTCATCTACATTGATTGAAGTGGATTTAACAAGTGACATCAATAAGGGATCATAGCTTTCACCTGGATTCACCTGGTAAGTTTATGTCATGGAGAGAGCAGGTGTTCATAATATTTTGTACACTCAGTGTAATCCCTTATGTACATTGCTCTAAAGACTGGATTACATTTTCAATGTAACCATGGGCCCAAAAATTGAAATATGAAAGACTGTGATTGACATACTGTAGGTCTACTACAGTAGATTGGTCTGTACTGTAGTTGGTTTGTTGGCAGAAGAGACATACAAGACCCACATAGATGTGGGTTCTCCAAAGCTGCTCCAACTGGGTAAAAATACAATTTAGGAACAGACTACAACCCAAATGGAACTACTACAGATGTCGGATCTTAATTTGAGCCAGTTTGCTACAGCAGGAAAATAATCCTGCAGCAACAGGAAATTTGAATTATTATGTGGTGTCAGGCGTGCTGTAGGTGTAAGGGTGGAATCAAACGCAGGACTCAGAACGATATTCCCAAAGGCTTGTATTATAGGCCAAACTAAGGCAAATGGAAACTTTGCCCGGAGGCAACAATTACGCACGAAGGCGAAAAGAAACTGCGCACAAACAGGTGCGACAAAATAGTAACCGCGCACAAACAGGTGCGACAAAAATAGTAACCACGCACAAACAGGTGCGAAAATACTCCAGAGTAATGGAGAGAAGCTCAACCGAGCAATACACACAACTGACGGAAAATCAATGACACACAACACTAGACAAACACAACGAGAAACTTATAGGACACTAATACGCCAAAACAGGAACAGGTGTGAAAACAAACAGACCAAAGCAAACGAACAAGAAACAAACAGCGGTGGCAGCTAGAATTCCGGAGACGACGAACGCCGAAACCTGCCCGAACAAGGGAGAGAGGCAGCCTCGGCCGAAACCGTGACAGTACCCCCCCCTTGACGCGCGGCTCCAGACGTGCGCCGACTCCGGCCTCGGGGACGACCAGGAGGACGCGGAGCAGGGCGCGTCGGATGCCCCCGATGGAATTCCGTCAGGAGCGACGGGTCCAAAACGTCTCTCCTCGGCACCCAGCACCGCTCCTCCGGGCCGTACCCCTCCCACTCCACTAGATACTGGAGACCCCCCATCCGACGTCTCGAATCCAAGATGGATCTCACAGAGTACGCCGGTGCCCCCTCGATGTCCAACGGGGGCGGAGGAGTCTCCAAGATCTCATCTTCTTGGAGTGGGCCCGCTACCACCGGCCTGAGAAGGGACACATGGAACGAGGGGTTAATACACTTATACTCCACAGGTAACATTAACCTATAACATACCTCGTTCAACCTTCTCAGGACTTTAAATGGCCCCACAAACCGCCGACCCAGTTTCCGACAGGGCAGGCGGAGGGGCAGGTTTCTGGTAGAGAGCCAGACTCGATCACCAGGTGCGTACACCGGTGCCTCACTGCGGTGGAGATCAGCGCTCGCCTTCTGACGTCGGAGGGCCCGCTGCAGGTGGACGTGTGCAGCGTTCCAAGTCTCCTCCGAGCGCCGCGCCCACTCATCCACCGCAGGAGCCTCGATCTGGCTCTGCTGCCAGGGTGCCAGAACCGGCTGGTAACCTAACACACATTGAAATGGAGTTAGGTTAGTGGAGGAATGGCGTAGGGAATTCTGGGCCATCTCGGCCCAGGGAACGTACCTCGACCACTCCTCCGGCCGGTCCCGGCAGTATGTTCTGAGAAACCTACCCACATCCTGGTTTACGCGTTCCACCTGCCCATTACTCTCCGGGTGGTAACCCGAGGTGAGGCTTACCGAGACCCCCAACCGCTCCATAAACGCTCTCCAGACTCTGGAGGTGAATTGGGGACCCCGATCAGCCACAATGTCCTCGGGTACCCCGTAGTGCCGGAACACATGGGTAAACAGTGCCTCGGCAGTTTGTAGGGCAGTAGGAAGACCCGGCATGGGGAGCAAACGACAGGCCTTAGAGAACCGATCCACCACGACCAGGATGGTAGTATTCCCTTGGGAGAGGGGAAGGTCTGTTATAAAGTCCACTGAGAGGTGGGACCATGGTCGTTGTGGAACGGGCAGGGGTAGCAACTTACCCCTAGGTAGATGTCTAGGCGCCTTACACTGGGCGCACACCGAGCAGGAGGAAACATAAACCCTCACATCCCTTGCCAACGTGGGCCACCAGTACTTGGCACTAAGACAGTGCACTGTCCGGCCGATACCCGGATGTCCAGAGGAGGGTGACGTGTGAGCCCAATAGATCAATCGATCCCGAACCTCGAGCGGAACGTACTTCCGACCCTCCGGGCACTGTGGTGGACTAGGGTCGGTGCGTAACGCCCGCTCGAGTTCAGAATCGACCTCCCACACTACCGGTGCCACCAGACACGACTCAGGCAGTATGGGAGTGGGCT